CCCTAAACCCCTAAACCCCTAAACCCCTAAACCCCTAAACCCCTAAACCCCTTAACCCCTAAACCCCTAAACCCCTAAACCCCTAAACCCCTAAACCCCTAAACCCCTAAACCCCTAAACCCCTAAACCCCTAAACCCCTAAACCATAAACCCTCGCCACGGCTAGGCAGTGGAGGGTGCCGTGGAGGGCGCGAAAACCGTGGCGCTGGACGTCCTGGAGGCCGCCCCGGTTAAAGCCGGATCCTGGGGTTTTAACCCAACCCCAAACCCTAAACGCCAAACCCTAAATCCTAAACCCTAAGCCCTAAATAGGGTTCAGTGGTTTAGGTGTTTGGGGGTTTATAGTATGCCACAAAGAGCGGAGGGCGCTGTGTTCAACAGTGTTGTTTTGAACAACAGGGTTCTGGTCTTGATGCTGCTTGTGGAATATTGTCCACCGCAGCGTCAGGAGCTGAGTTGCGTAGCGGCTTCTGCTGGATTCTCTGCACTTCAGGCTCAGAGCCAAACCCCACACATAAGTTGGCCCAAAAGCCCTGAAGCCCTACTTTGAAGCCTATTTAGGGTACCAGCAAAAACCTACTTACTACTTATAAGTACCCATGAACCTCCGAGTAAACCCTAAACTTGGGATGTTCCCCCTGAAACCAACAGTCCTTAGTACGGACTATAATAACGGGGGGTGCTATAATCGCTATTAAGGACTGTTGGTATACGGGGGAACATCCCAACCCCAAGCCCCAAACCCTAAACCCTAAACCATAAAACCTAAACCGCACACGCGCTGTTTTCCTTACCATCGAGGCTGGCGCCGAGAAGGTGAACGAGACGCTGGACAAGCTGGGCGGTGAGGTCTCCGAGGCGCTGCTTTCTTTCGGGTGTAGGGTTTATAGGGTTTAGAGGCGGTTTTGGGCCTGTAAAAGTTTGAGATATGGGGTTCTGGGGTTAAGAAGTCTGAGGACGGCGCAGCAGGCTAAGGGAGCCTCCTGCATCCTAACGTGCCCAAATCGCCGACAATGACTAAACCCTGAATACTTAGCCTAAATAGGGTAATAAGTAGAGTTACCATACCTATAACCCTACTTATAACTACCCGTGAACCTCCAAGCAGAGGGGCCTGGCTTTGCTTTGCAAGTTAGAAGTCCAGGGGCTGAGGGTTGCGAGAGTGCAGTGTAGACTTTAGGGCTTCAGCCCGAAGCCCAAGCCCGAAAGCCCTCAGCCCTGGTTTGCGGCTTAGGGTTTAGGGTTTAGGGTTTAGGGTTTAGGGTTTAGGGCTTAGGGTTTGGGACGTCTTTGCGTTGAGAGCTGTGGGCGTCTACAGCGCGAGTTTTTGCTTTCGGGCTTCGCAGGCCCTGCTGAAGACTTGGACCTTAGGGTTTAGGGTTGAGGGTTTAGGATAGTTAAGGATCATGTTGGGTTATTTTGGGTCAATTTGCTAGTAGGGGTTGTTAAAGTGGGTTGCTAAAGTGAGTAGGGTTACTATGTTTATTCGGGCTGTTAGGGGGAGATTGCTGGGATTTGGGAATGACTCTAGTAACCAGAGTGTGTCCTCATAAGCCCCTTTAGACCAAAAAAGGGCACCCGTTTTGTATTCCTAGGTTCCTTTTGGGTCTAGTATTCGTGCCTGCAGGGTTTCGAGTGTAGGGGTTGACGGCGACAGCAGCTCTGGTGCCCAAGCCCCTAAACCCCTAAAGCCTAAAAATCCTAATCCCTAAGCCCTAAACCCTATACCTTAAGCCCAAAACCTTAAGCCCTGAACTCTAAGCCCTAAGCCCTAAACCCCCGCAAAGTTCAGCTCAACCCTTGAACCCGAATCTTCCACACCCGACCTCCGAATCTCCAGGCGAATTCCACCGCCCTGAGCGCCATGGAGAAGGTGCCCGGGGGTTGGGGGTTTCGGGCTTAGGGCCCCCTTGTTTAGGGTTTAGGGTTTAGGGTTTAGGGTTTAGGGTTTAGAGTTTAGGGTTTAGGGTTTAGGGTTTAGGGTAGGGTTGAGGGCAGGGAGGTAGGGTTGCGGGCCTCAAGGCACCAAAAAGCATGTAATGTAGGAGTCGGAAGAGTTGCTTTTTAGCATTTTTCCCTCGTGGCCGCTATGTGATTCTACAAGAATGACCCCCTCTTACCCTATTCTAATCATTAAGGCTAATGGGTTTTGATATCTAAGCACTGACCACCCGGTAAAGGGGGGGAGCGGACTGAACCCCAAACCCTAAACCCAAAACAGGAAGAACAGGACCACACCTTGCAGCCGTGGCCATATCTGTGTTTGCGGGTCGGGAGCTCGCTGCCTGCAGCCCTGAATCCCAACCCCCCAAACTAAAGCCCTAGGCCCTATCAAACCCTCAACCTTAAGCTCGATGATCCTAGGATCTGAACCTGCTTCCTTAATTTTGCAAGTTGACCGCGCGCTTAGCATGGTGTAGGGGTTCAGGGTTTAGGGTTTCGGTTTTAGGGGCAGCGCTTGCCTTAAGAACCTACAGGCCGCTGTGGGGAAAGGGATCAGGTACCTATCACCCCCCCCCCCCCCCGACAGCCGGGGATCTTTTTGGGCTCTGGGGTCAAAATGCCCTTCACCGAATCGAATCAATCCCCAAGGGATCTAGGGCACTCACTTCCCTACTTGTTCAAGGGCCAGTAAGTGACATGTACATTTTGTTTGAGGTTTGGGTAGTTAAAGCTCCGGGTCCCCAGGGCGTAGGGCGTAGAACCGGGCACAGGCAGAGTCGAAGGTCAAAATGGCCGACAACAAGGCCGAGGCGTTCGCTGATGCTGGGAAGGCGCGGCGCATGGGCTCAAGGTGTAGGGGATTTACTTGGAGGTTCGCACGTATAAGTCGGTGTAGATGTATGGTAGCTATAGGTAGCTATAGGTAGCTATCACCATATGTAGGGTAATCACCGCCCGACTTATCAGTATCAGGTAGGGCTTACCGGCAAAGCCATGCCGAGCCCTAAGCCCTGAACCCAAGCGCTATAAGTCCTGTAAGCCACACAAGCCCTTTAGAAGCCCCAAGCACCCTATGAACACTAGAATCCCTATAAACCCCCTGAGGGCATGAGCCCTTTGAAGCCCCAACCCCGCAATCTGAACGGGCCAGGACCTCCTGCAGTCAATTCTGCCCAAGTTTCAGCAGCTTGGCCGTGCACTGTCCGATTCCCTGAGATGCCAAGGCAACCGCGAAGCCCATTCTAAGGACCCTACCCTGAGCCTCGTTGAGGGTTTGCGAGTTTGGGGTGGAGGGACTCAGGGTGTTGGGCCATCTTCTTTTTGCCTTTAGGGTGGGATCTTTTGGGATCTAGGATGCCCTTTGAATGATGCATCATTGTTTTTGAGAGCTTTAGGGTTGAGGTGATGGACCTGGAGTCTAAGCCATGAAACCTTAAACCCGCGGTTTAGGGTTTAGGGTTTAGGGCCGTTTAGGGTTTAGGGTTTAGGGTTTAGGGTTTAGGGTTTAGACCCTAAACCCTAAACCCTAAACCCTAAACTCCGAAACCTGAACCTTAAACCGACCCCCAACCCTCAACCCTATAAACCCTAAACCCCCAAACCCTAAACCCCTAAACCCTCAACCCCCAAACCCTAAACTCCCGAACATCCGCCCTCTCATGTATACCTACTTTATAGGGTTGGTTAGGGGGATCCTAAACCCTGAACCCTGAACCCTGAACCCTAAACCCTAAACCCTGAACCCAAACCCTAAACCCTGAACCCCAAACCCTAAACCCTAAACCCTCAACCCTCAACCCTCGACCCTCTACCCTCAACCCTCAACCCTAAACCCTAAACCCTCAACCCTAAACCCTGAACCCTAAACCCTAAACCGCATGTTGGCATGTCGAACTCAGCCCAGGGAGCTCGTCAGCGGGCTCCACGGCGCCATGGGCGCGGCCGACAAGGCACTGGACGCCATGGACGAGCGGCTCGGCCTGAGCTGGGGTCTGGGATTTAGGCTTTAGGATTAGGGTTTAGGGTTTAGGGTTTAGGGTTTAGGGTGTAAGGTTTAGGGTCTAGGGTCTAGGGTCTAGGGTTTAGGGTTTAGGGTTTAGGGTTTAGGGTTTAGGGTTTAGGGAGTCAACTCGGAGGGCTGGGCTGCTGAAAGCGCGGAGTTTCCTTGGGGCTTGTAGGGGTTCCTGGGACCTATCGGGCCTTTAGGGCTTTTAAGGGCTTTAGGGTTCAGGGTTTAGGGTTTAGGGTTCAGGGTTCAGGGTTTAGGGTTTAGGGTTTAGGAGTTTCTAGGCTTGAGGGTTTCAGGGTTTCATAAGGGTCTTTACATACGGAGTGCCCTTAATGACATCCGCACTTGGGACCAGAATTTGGGAGTCGTGTGTTTGGGGCTTCATTGGTGTCGCTGCTTGTCTTGTGGTATCAAAGATTGTTCATCAGCCAAGCATACTTGTTCAATCTCTTACTGTTCCAAGCCGGTGGCAAGCCCTAAACCCTAAACCCTGAACCCTGAACCCTCAACCCTAAACCCTAAACCCTAAACCCTAAACCCTAAACCCCAAACCAGCGGTACGGAAAGCGCCCCGGTTATCACATCCTACGCACCCTCAACTGCCTGTAGCATCAACCCCAAGTCGCACTCTATGCATACCTCTAGAAGCTAAGCACTTGCAGGGTTTTAGGGTCTAGGGTTTTAGGTTTTAGGTTTTAGGGTTTAGGGTTTAGGGCTTAGGGTTTAGGGGTACCTTATGGGGGTCCTTACTAGAACGGAATCCTTCTATTCGGGGGTCTGTTATGGGGCTCCCTTATTTTCGTGAAATTCCTTGTGAGCCTTAATTTTTCATTAACCTCCCCCCCCCCCCCCCCCCCCTCCACCCTGTTTCCTACATCGCCTTGTGATCTCTGAACCCTAAACCCTAAGCCCTAAACCCTAAACCCTAAACCCTGAACCCTAAACCCCAAACTCAAACCCTAAACCTTAAATCCTACGCCTCAACCAGTCGGGAAGTCGCAGGAAGCCGGCAGCTAAGAAGTTGGATGAGCCTCGGAAGAAACCAGGGTTTCGGGCTTAGGGTTTAGGGTTTGGGGTTTAGGGTTTTAGGGTTAGGGTTTAGGGTTTAGGGTTTGGGGCTTTGGGGCTTTGGGGAAGGAGCTGCTGGGACCCCTCCCATTGGTGCCATTGGGATGCCTTTTTACTTGTGTAGGCCAGGTTCCCATTGTAAGCAAAGACGAGCTGCCTTTTCATTCAACCCGAGACCGAATCCCTAAACCCTCAACCCTAAACCCAGAATAACACGCGTCTCAATGTCTGAGTAGAACCACCCCGCATGCTCAGCTCACAACAGCATAGGCTCCCAGTCAGCGCCCTGTATTCCGTTACTAGGACCTTGGGACGTTCCTTAATTGGGATTCTTTAGTATCCCTATTAGGGACTGCTAGTATAAAGGGGAACATCCCAACTAGGATCTCTTCTAGCTACCGGGTACCCCAAAGGTCGGCTTTGATGTGCTGGAGCACCTTTCGGTGGGAAGTGTACGTTGGGATGTTCCCCCCTATATGAACAGTCCTTAACAGGGCAACAATAATTCCTATTAAGGGCTGTTAGTATAAGGGGGAACATCCCAAAGTGTACACATTCTCTGAAAACGGCCCAAATCCTCCTGACCCCGCATATCTCAAAACCCTAAGCCATGTAAGCCCTACTGTACAGTCCCCGCAGAAGCCCTATATTCCCCTAAACCCTAAACCCCAAACCCTAAACCCTAAATCCGAAACCCCAAACCCTAAACCCTAAACCCTAAACCCTATAAACGCTAAACCCTAAACCCTAAACCCCCAGGATGCCATGTCGCCCGTTTTCGCCACCATCGACTCCTGGAAGAACTCGGCCAGCGAGGCGCACTGGGTCCAGGGCCTAGGGCTTTTAGGGGTTGGTTCAGGGTTTAGGGTTTAGGGTTTAGGGTTTAGGGTTTGGGGTTTGGGGTTTAGGGTTTCGGGTTTAGAGCTTCAGGACTTGTGGGGTTTAGTGAAAGGGTTTTGGGGCTTGTTTGAGGTATTCTGGCTTTAGGGTCCATAAAAGGAGCCTTGTAGGGATTTGTCAGATGGTTTGTAGGGACCGTTGTTCTACAATACCAGGTTTCCTTAGTTCCTTAGTCGGGGCATTTTGAGAGGGAATCCCATGAGAAAGGGTATGTAGAAGGGGACGCGTATGTCGAAGAACTGCCAGTTAAGATTACCGCTCAGCAAGTAGGACAGGGGACCCGAAACCCCTAACCCCTACTAGACCCTCAACCCTCAACCCTAAATCCTTGGTAGCCCAGTGGTATCCCTTGCCCTTTTTTTTGGGGGGTTATGGGTTTCCCTTAGGCTGCCCATATTATAATATGGTTGCTGGGCTAGCAAGAAGCCCAAGCCACCCCAAAAAGCGAGGTGATCAAGACCTTGTCTGCGTACGCGAGCCAGGCGGGCACCTTTGGGGAGGGTGGCCCTAAACCCTAAGCCCTCAACCCTCAACCCTAAACCCTAAACCCTAAACCCTAAACCGGGGGGGGGGGGGCTTGCACGAAACAGGCCTTGAAGCCCAGTTTGTTGAACCTTCGGATCCCTTTAAGGCCCCACTTCTCACAACCCTAACACCTACCCTTTTCAACAATGAGCACCTGAAACCCCACAATCTATGAACCTTGTAAGTCGCATCAGCCCGTTAAACCCTATAAATCCTAAATCCTGGAATCAACACCCCCTATAGACCCACTGCAAGTTTCAGGCAGCAGTATTGAAGACATAGAACTCTTGAGAACCCCGCAGCCCCATCATCGCCCTTGGCTGTATAGTGGCAGTTCTCAAAGTTCTGGGTCACGTTTTGCGGTCCCACGAGAACTCGGAGCCGTGTATTTACTAGGGTACCCCCAAAAGAAGGAACCGACCCTCAGCGCGAAAGTCAGGCTGATTGGCATGCCACCTGCACCATTCAGGGGATGCATTATTTCGGCCTGCAAAGGGAACCTAGCTAAAACACGCTGCGGAACCTACAACGCCCAAGACACCTCGAATCCGCAAAAAGCCCCCGTTTCTGAAGGCTTCAGGTTCAGGGTTAATGGCTCGCTCTCCGAGACCAAGAGAGGGTTGTGGTTGAGCTGAAGCGTTCACGGCTCAGGGCTCCGGGCTTAGCCTTATGGGCTTTCGGGGTTGGGGCACATGAAGCTTCAGACTGTCTGTGTCCTTTCGAGCGCAGGGAGGGGGAGGCTCCGAATTAAGCTTTCGAGATGACTCTCCACCGCAGCGATCTCTCCGTCTGCCCAAAGGTGTCTGGCGCCGGCAACGCCAGCAACGCCAGCAACTTTGCCTGGTTTGCTGGTTGATTGGTTTTATAGGTATGACTGGTGAGCAGCGGAATGCCGTGAAATCGCCACATGTTCGCTCATGCTTTAGGGTTTAGGGTTTGGGAGGGGGGGGGGAGGTTTAGGGACTTCCAGGGCAAGGGCTTAAGGGCTTTGATCCGTCTTGCAAGAGGCAGGCAGAGAGAGAGGCAGGGGGAGAGAAGGCAAGAAGTTCAGCAGTCGCTGAGAAGTGAACCCTAAACCCTAAACCCTAAACCCTAAACCCTAATCCCTAATCCCTAAACCCTAAACCCCAAACCCCAAACCCTAAACCCTAAACCCTAAAGCCTAAACCCTAAACCCTAAGGCAACGCCTCCCTCTTGGACATGGGCGGCCCCGCGCCCTGGGCCGCAGCTGAGCGGGGGCGTTACAAGGGGTTAAGGTGTTTCGAGTTGTTTGTGCAACCCTGAACCCTACTTTATTCTAAGCCCTAAACCCTAAACCCTAAATCCTAAACCCTAAACCCTAAACCCTAAACCCTAAACCCTAAACCCTAAACCCTAAACCCTAAACCCTAAACCCTAAACCCTAAACCCTAAACCCTAAACCCTAAACCCTACATACTGGGAAGTTGAGGTGTGCGGTCTGAGGGCTCCTCAGGAGGGCTTCAAGGGACTCTCACAAGTGCTGGGTGGAGCTGTCAAGTTAGATTGTGAAGGCCTGAGGGTTTAGGGTTTAGGGTTTAGGGTTTAGGGTTTAGGGCTGTAATTACTAAGGGGTTGACCTGCAGCTTGAACCCTAAGCCCGAAACTTCAAATTGTCCCAAACGCTGAGGCCTTGAAACCCTAAATCTGCTAAACCTACTCCATGCCCTGTGAGCCCTGAGCCCTGAAACCCTGTCCAACACCCACCCCGCCCCCGCCCTGAAACCCAACAACCCTAAACCCTGAACCCTGAACCCCGAACCCTGCGCCCTATAACCTAAACCCTAACCCTCACCCTAGTCCCCAAAACCCTTTCCTGCAAAGACCCCGGAGAGGCCCACGCTTAGGGTTTAGGGTTTAGGGTTAGGGTTAGGGTTTAGGGTTTAGGGTTTAGGGTTTTGGGTTTAGCTCAAGGGTCCCGGTCTGAATTTCTCTGACTTTAATGTGAAGACAAGTGCGCCATATATGATAACAGGGACTCAGAAAGGTACCGTGAATTAGTCATCTGTTAAGCCCTAAGTAAACCCTAAAGCCCTTAAAGCCCTAAAAGCCCTAAAAGCCCTAAAAGCCCTAAACCTCCTAAACCTCCTAAACCTCCTAAACCTCCTAAACCTCCTAAACCTCCTAAACCTCCTAAGCCTCCTAAACCTCCTAAACCTCCTAAACCCTAAACCCTAAACCCCCCAGGAGGCCAAACTAGCGGACGCCCTCCGGGACCCCTTGGAAGGGCTGAAGCTTGCGGCCGGCGGCTGGGGCCCGCAAGTGTGAGGAATTTCCGGGGGTGTGGGTTTAGGGTTTAGGGTTTAGGGTTTAGGGTTTAGGGTTTAGGGTTTGGGTTTAGGGTTTAGGGTTTAGGGTTTAGGGCTTGTCACTTTTGCTCTGGAATGGACACCCCGCTTGGAAGAGGGGGCCGGGGGGTGTATCTTGTTCGAGCCTTTGAGGGTTTTAAGGAGGTTTCCAGGAGTTCGGGCGAATTCTGGCAAATAGGTTTTAGGAATTTGCCGTTTGGAGACGTTGCGTTTGAACGGCTCAGGGTGTAGGTGTAGGGTTCACAAGTTCTCTTGGAAGTTTACGAATATAGGGGACCCCCAACATAGACCCCAAATGCTAGGATTCCCTTGTAATAGGGACCCCAAGAAGGTACCCAAGTTCGGACACCACCATGTAGTGCTTGAAGAATGGCTGGCGGAGGAGTGGTTGAGGCCGTTTCAGTCACCCTTGCTGCTACATGGGTGCCGCAAGAGGCTCATGAAGCACAGAGGTTGGGATGTTCCCCCTTATACTCACAGTCCGGAATAGGGATGTAGTAGGGGGGTGCTATAATCCCTGTTTTGGACTTTTAGTCTAAGGGGGACATCCCAACTCACAGGTGTAAAGTTTAGTGTTTCGGGTGGGAGGGGCAACCTAAATCCCAAACCCTGAACCCTGAACCCTGAACCCTGAACCCTGAACCCTGAACCCTGAACCCTGAACCCTGAACCCTGAACCCTAAACCCTAAACCCTAAACCCTAAACCCCAAACCCTAAACCCTAAACCCTAACCACCAAGGCCAGCTGCACAACTTGGCGAACGACACCTTCGATGCCATGACGCTCGCTTTTGAATTGGGTCCCCCTCCCCCCCTACTTGTTAGGGTTTTTAGGGTTGTGGGGTTTAGGGTTTCGGGTTTAGGGTAATCGAACAGCAAAGTCTAAGCGGTTTAGGGTTTAGGGTTTTAGGGTTTTTGGGTTTTTGGGTTGAAGGGTTTAGGGTCTAGGGTTTAGGGGTTAGGGCGACTATACCCTATCACCCCTAAACAAAGGCCCCCCGTTATAGGGTTGGTGAGGGGGATTACAAGGCCCAATATCCCATGTAGTCTTAATCCCAGAACCAGTTCGAGGTTTGTCTACAAGACTTTTAGGAATCATGCTTGAACGTTTCGTTGGGTAGAGTTTTGAGGGATTTCAACTGTTTCAATTGGTTTGTAGTTGTGCAGTCCCACCAGACCCTCGAAGATCCGAGTTTACATCACTAAGGCTTTCTAAAGGTTAGGGTTTAGGGACTAGGTTCAAGTAGGGTTTGGGGTTTAGGGCTTAGGGTCTAGGTTCAATTGGGGTTTAGCGTTTAGGGTTTAGGGTTTAGGAGCCGTAAACCCAACCCCCGAGGAGCGTATATAGCAAGGCAGAACTGTGTAGGGGTGGGTTGTTCCGTGCTCCTCGGGGGTTGGAACCCACTTCAACCCTAAACCCTAAACCCTAAACCCTAAACCCTAAACCCTAAACCCTAAACCTAAACCCTAGCATGTCTGCCCCTCATCCCTTCTTGGAGGTTCATGGGTACTGATAACCCCATAGGTCTACTTACAACCTCCTTACTCAGAGGACTTCCAGACTTACGGGCTTGTAAGAGCACATATACTTGGGTTTATAGGTGCCCTGAACTCCAAGTACCTCTGGGCTGGCACGTTCCTTCATCTTTGGATCTACTTGCCGTCTTTTGAAGGTACAGTGTTGCTAGTACCCTAGGCAACCCTATAAACCCTCAACCCTCAACCCTCAATCCTCAATCCTCAATCCTCAACCCTCAACCCTCAACCCTCACCCCAAAACCCTTCCTTCCCCTCTCCAAGGAACAACTTCGTGGATGCGGGCCTGGATGCTGCCTCAGGGAAGCTGCCAGACGACCTGATCGCCAACGTCTCCGACATCTTTGAGGGCGTGCAGGAGACCCTAATGAAACCCAGGAATTAGGGTTTAGGGTTTACTATCATGGGTTTCCCTACTACCCCTAGGCTCCCCCCTTAAAATAACCGTATTCAGGCCTGGACGGCCTTAGTTCTGGGGGGAACCTAGGGGGGGTAGTATAGTGTTTGGGTTCCCTCTTGAAACCAAAAAGGGCGCCTTTTGTTGTTTCTAGGTTGCTCTTGGGTCTAGGTTATGAGGGTCGAGGCATTAGGGCTTTGCATTCTTTCGCTCTAGGGCCTTGCAGTCTTCAAGCCCCCGCAAGAACAAGCCAAACCCTAAACCCTAAACCCTAAGCCCTAAGCCCTAAACCCTGAACCCTACACCCTAAACCCTAAACCCTAAACCCTAAACCCTAAACCCTCAAGACAAAATAAATAGAAATTGTATGTGGTATCATTCTGAATTTTCAAGTTATTTGTCTAAACAGCTGACAAGCCGAGTTTAAGTCTGAGGCCAAATGCTCAATTTACTTAAACCTCGCCCTCCCCCCCCCCTCCTATGTGGTATCATTCTGAACTTTCAAGTTATTTGTCTAAACAACTGACGAGCCGAGCTTAAAGCTGAGGCTCAATCTGCCCCTCCTCCACCCCTCCTCCCCCCCTCCTCCCCCCCCTCCCCCTCCTCCCCTCCCCTCACCCACCCCTGCTCCCCTCCCCTGCTCCCCCCCCCCTCCCCCCCCCCCCCTCCCCCCTCCCCCCCCCCCCCTCCCCCCCCGCCCCCCCCCCTCCCCCCCCCTCCCCCCCCCCTCCCCCCCTCCTCTTCCCCCCCCCTCCCTCCCCCCCCCCTCCCCCTCCCTCCCCTCCCCCCTCTCTTCTCCCCCCCTCCCCCTCCTCCCCCCTCCACCACCAGTTTTAAAAATCGAAACTTTCGTACGAAACGTTTCGTACGAAACGTTTCGTTCGAAACGTTATTGGGACCCAAACCCTATACAATTTCTATAAACCCTAAACCCTCAACCCTAAACCCTACAAGAGCAAGCTAAGCCCGCTCCCAATTGGCGTTGGAGATGGCCTTGCGTTTGGGATGTAGGTGTTGGGGTTTAGGGTTTAGGGTTTAGGGGTTTTGGGGTTTAGGGTTTAGGGGTTTAGGGGTTTAGGGGTTTAGGGGTTTAGGGGTTTAGGGGTTTAGGGGTTTCGGGGTTCAGGGGTTCAGGGGTTTAGGGGTTTAGGGGCTCAGGGGTTCAGGGGTTCAGGGGCTTAGGGGTTTAGGTGTTTAGGGGTTTAGGGGTTTGGGGTTTAGGGGTTTAGGGGTTTAGGGGTTTAGGGGTTTAGGGGTTTAGGGGTTTCGGGGTTTAGGGGTTTAGGGGTTTAGGGGTTTGGGGGTTTGGGGGTTTGGGGGTTTGGGGGTTTGGGGGGTTGGGGGTCTAGGGGTTTAGGGGTTTCGGGGTTGAGGGTTGTAGGGGTGTAGGGTCGTAGGGGTTTAGGGATTTAGGGGTTTAGGGGTTTAGGGGTTTAGGGGTTTAAAAGTTTGGGGGTTTGGATGTAGTGTTGGGGTTCTGGATTGCGGGTTTGGGGTTTACTTGGAGGTTCATGGGTACTTATATAACCCCACTTATCAGTCTACTTGTAACCTACTTAGAGGACTAACGGGGCTTATAAGTGACAAGTGCCCTGAAGCTCCAAGTAGGCTTTCGTCTTGGCCCAGGTGGGGGTTGACGAAAATAGCGGACCCCTAGTATAGAGGACCAAATAGTAGGATTCCCTGATAATCAGTACCCCAATAAGGTATCCCTAAACCCTAAACCCAAAACCCTAACCCCTAAACCCTAATTGCGGAAACCCCCAGGTTAGGTTTCCAGGACATAACTTGTGTTTCCTGTCGTGTAGATACAAGCTGTCCAGGCGGCCAACTCAAGGGAGAGATGCAATACCTTGGGGTTTGGGGTTTGGGTTTAGGGGGCCGAAACCCTAAGCCCAAAACTCCTTGAGTCCTTGAAGCCCTAGACAGACTCTGCAACCCCAAACCCAAAACCCGTCAACCCTGACCCCTTTGAATTCCGACAGCCCCCTAAAACTCTATACCCGAGATGCAATGCCCTGAACCTTAAACCCCACACCCTACCCCCTAAACCCCAAACCAACCCAAACCCTACACCCCCAAAGCCACCGATTGTCCCCCCAGGAGAAGGCCCGATTGGAGCTTGAGCCGATTGGCGCTGTGGGCGACGAGATCGTGAATGCCCTCTACAACACCGCCCAGGAGCTTCGAGTAGCTTTTGGGGACTCTTCGGGTTCATTGGGCCCCTAAACCCTGTACCTTACACTGGGGGGTGTTTAGTGTTAAATCTTAGAGGACCCTAAACCCTAAAACCCTAAACCCTAAACCCTAAACCCTCAACCCTAAACCCTAAACCCTAAACCCGGAATTTTGCTGCATTTGGGCAGCTTCTTGGTTCTTGTCTTTGGGATAGCCTGGCGGTGACGACCTGCAGGTGCCTTAAACGCCTAGTTCCCCGAAATAAGAGGCTACTACACCCCCCCAAAGTAGAAACTGTAGCCCAAAAGTATAGTCTACTGGCCTTCAAGGTGTGGCTTTTCCATTGTTACTCCCAGATTAGAAACAGTAGCCCAGAAGTATAGTCGACTGGGTTTCTAGTTGGGGCCTTGGTCGTTTCCATCGTTGGTTCTGGGCCGCTCTTGTGGAGCCGTTCTCTTTGAGCTCCCTTGTTGCTCGCCACTGTCAGCCACAACGGCCTACGCAGCTTTTTGCCTCACAGAGGTTACACCGGGTCGGGCGGTTTTGGGCAGTTTTGGGCGTTGAGTTGGGGCTTGGGGCTGAGAGTCATGAAGACTTTTAGGGTTATAGGGCAGGGTTTTGGAGGTGTTGGCTCGATCCCTAAATCTCAAACTACCCTCTAACACCCCTAAACTCCCGAAAAATGCCGAACAGCCCTAAGCAAGCCTACACACCCTAAACAAATGTCAAACAAAAAACCGAAAATGCCCTTTAACAACTCCAAAGCACGGAAAGACCCTACCGGACCTGAAAGGTCCGTAAAACCCTGAATATAGGGGTAATAGTATTCCCTTATGGTCCCTTTGTAGCTATGCCATAATAACCCCAAAGACCCTATTCTAATTATTCAGGCTTCTTTTTACCCCGTAGACCCTAACCCCAAACTTGCCCTAAGCCCTCTTCGCGAGCCTAAACCCGACTATTTGCTTGCGAACCCTCATATGGGGATTATAATGTTTCTGTTTTTGGGGCTCCTGAGCAAGATAGTAGCACGCTAAGCCCTAAACCCCAAGCCCCAAGCCCCAAGCCCCAAGCCCCAAGCCCCAAGCCCTAAGCCCTAAGCCCTAAACCCCAAACCCTAAACCCTAAACCCCAAACCCTAAACCCTAAACCCTAAGCCCTCTCTTGCGGTCTCTCGGCCACAGGAGGCTGGCGTTGAGGTGAAGCCACGGTCTGGAGCTTGCCGCGGCACCCCGGAGAGAATTTCGTGGTTTGAGAGCATAGGGTTTGGGGATTTGGGGTTCAGGGTTTAGGGGGTTCGGGGGTTTGGGGGTTGGGGTTTAGGGTTTGGGTTTTGGGGTTTAGGGGATTCGGGGGATTTGGGGTTTAGGGCTTAGGGGTGGGGCTTTGAGGGTTTGGGCTTTAGGGTTTTGGGTCTGCGGGCTTTGGGGGTTTAGGATTGACACGTACTTGAAGTCGATCCGACTCAAACAGCGAAACAACGTCAGTTGTTAACCACAGTTTAGGGTTTAGGGTTCAGGGTTCAGGGTTTAGGAATTAGCAGGTTTGGGATGTCGCTGGTGATCTGCAGCTCTCGGCGTAACAAGCGTGTCGGATTGTGTTCACGCTTGTGCTGCGCGAAGTTTTGGCGGGTTTATAGTGTGTAGGTTTAGGATGTTCCCCCTTTTACTAGCAGTCCTTAATAGGGATTCTAATCGGGAGGTGCTAGAATCCCAAATACGGACTGTTAGTGTATGACATTGTATGCACGATGCCGCCACCACTCAAGACGGGCCGCCGCCGCCCCACCGCCTCAGCTTGTGAAATCAAAGAGCTGCCACTGGCGCACTCAAGCGCACTCTGTCTGTGCCACCTGGTACATCTGCAGTGCCAACAGTTCGCAAGCATGCTATGTGTGTCCCACTGCATTGCCATAGGCATGTTGTGCCACAGGCACGTTTGTGTCAGCACTTTCCGGTATATATATATATAACATCCCCAAGGTTTCGGTTTAGGCTTACGTAGGGCTTGCTGTTGTTACGGGCGGGTTCTTAGTAGGGAATGAGGGAATGCGGGCCCTATATAATCTCCTAAAGGGATTCTGCAGGGCCCTCATTCCCTAATCCCTTAAAGGGATTCTATAGGGCCCTCATTCCCTCACTCCCTACTAAGCACCAAGGAAGGCTAGGGTTGACGGCAGCGAGGGTCTACGCGGTACGGAAAGTGAATGGCACACAGCCGTTCAACCTTGCGGCCGCAAACCCTAAACCCCAAACCCCAACCCCGAAACCCGAAACCCCAAACCCCAAACCCCAAACCCCAAACCCAAAGCCCCAAACCCTAACCCCTAAACCCTAAACCCTAGACCCTAAGCCCTAAACCCTAAACCCCAAACCCCAAACCCCAAGCCTTGCCGAGGTGGCCTGGCACTGCTGTCCTTGGCCCTTGGCGCTCTTGCGACCTTCTAAGGAGGCATGGTGTAGGGTTTAGGGTTTAGGGTTTAGGGTTTAGGATTTAGGGTTTAGGGTTTAGGGTTTAGGGTTTAGGATTTAGGGTTTAGGGTTTAGGGTTTAGGGTTTAGGGCTTGGGGCTTAAGAGGTTGGGGCCGGAGAGATTTCAGGGCTGCGGTTTAGGGTTGAGGGTTTAGGGTTGAGGGGTTTAGGGTTTAGGGTAGTGAGAGTTTAGGGTAGTGAGTGGGAGAGAGATTGAGATCGCAAGGTTCAGTCATAAAGGCTTTTGGGAGGATTTGGTACTTCAAGTCCTTAGCCCATGAAATCCTAGTCTAAACCCTCGACGCTGTCGCCAAGGGGGGCCGCGCACTTAGCAACCACTTAGCAAGCACGAGCCTGGGTTCTGATAACTTGAAAGGTTGTGAAACCATAAGCCCTAAACCCAAATTAAATGCAGGGCGATAGCAGGTGCCTACTTGCCTATCTCCCGATGAAGCAAAAGCCTGAAACTCCAAACCCTAAACCCCAAACCCGGTAAAAACCCTTAATCCTGTACACCCTAAGCACCGAGCCAACAGCCCCCCAGAGTGGTACAGCCCTCATGCACACAGACCCATTTTGTGAAACCTCCAGCTGCCCAAGTCCCCAACACCTCAACCCTGAACCCACAAAGCCCAGGCTGCTGGGCCGAGAATAGGGGGTAGGGTTTAGGGTTTAGAGTTTAGGGTTTAGGGTTTAGGGTTTGGGGTTTAGGGTTTATGGTTTAGGGTTTGCTGTGATAGGGCGTAGATGCTGTGAAGATTAGGTTTCGGAACAAGCTTCGTAGGTGCCGAAGAGCAGTTTTGGCCCGATTGTGGAGGGCCATCCACCGCTTTTCTCCCACCCCACGCCGTCCAAGGCCAGGGGGGAGGCCAGGTTCCAAGAACTCACCTGCCCTGCCTGGCCTGGCCTGAGGCCCCCAGGAAAGGGTCCCAGAAATCCAAGCTGTGGGGCGGGCAAACGACCAAAATCGGCTTGCGCCATCGAGGTCGAGGCGTAGGCGCCGCCCCCAACTGTAGGGGGGCGGCCCAGGCCTTGAGTTTAGGATTTAGGGTTTAGGGTTTAGGGTTTAGACTCGGAGAGGGTTGCTCGAACGAACCTGCCCGTCGCATCTTTTCGCCAGGACTCGTGAGCCCGGAGCTGTGTCCTGAGCACTTCTGACTCGAACTGGAACGCGGAGCGTGAAAGGAGTGCTGTGTCCCTCCAAAACCCCAAAACCCCATACACTATGCCTGAACTCTAAATGCCTGAACCCCAGAAGTCGGGCTTAGGCAGATTTGAGGGTCTGGGGTATTTCAGAGCGAACCAAGACATCAAGAAGAGTGATTATGCCAGAGCTTGCATCAACGTCCACACAGTGCGAATATAGCGGTTTCCCACCACACTTACCAGTGCCTTTTTTGGGGTTCGTATAATAGGGATCATGGTGTTTTTCTTTATCAACGGGAACGTCTTCACACAGCTCCCAGAACATCTACGTCCGGACAGATGCCGCGGTGGATGTCAAATTCGGGGCGTTGAGGTGACAACAGCGGCGTAGTCGTCGCAGAACCCTGATTACTAAACCTCCTAAACCCACGTCCGAGCTGCTCTATACTTTTTATGTAAAGGGGCTCTGCCGTTGTACTTCCCATCCCTAAACCCAAACCTTGAACCCCAAACCATGGGATCACCAAAGCCCGAAACCCCTGAGGCCCTTAGAACCCAAAAACCCTGACGCCCCTAAGCCCTACAGACTGTAGGCACCCAAACCCGAAACACATGATCCCCAAGCCCACCCGAAACCCAAAACCCTAAGCCCTAAACCGTAAACCCTAAGCCCTAAACTCCAAGCCCTAAGCCCCAAGCCCTAAGACCTAAGCCTGAAGACCAAAACCCTAAACCCTAAACCCAAGCCCTAAACGCAAGCCCTAAACCCTAAACCCTAAACCCTAAACCCCTAAACCCCTAATTAAACCCCTAAACCCCTAAACCCCTAAACCCCTAAACCCCTAAACCCCTAAACCCCCTCATCCCCCCACTTCTCGGAAGGCCTGGCTTGAGGACTTCGACGACGAGCGGCCTGTCCGTGGCTACTTCGCCCATGCCCTCGTGGAGGAGGGGCGTTTAAGGTAGGGGCCTTTAGTCATTGGAATAGGGTTTAGGGTTTAGGGTTTAGGGTTTAGGGTTTAGGGTTTAGGGTTTAGGGTTTAGGGTTTAGGGTTTAGGGTTTAGGGTTTGAAGGTTTGAAGGTTTGAAGGTTTAGGGTTTAGGGTTTAGGGTGTAGGGTTTAGGGTTTTTGGTTTAGGGTTTAGGGTTGAGTGCTACTGTAAGGGCCTTAATGGTTAGAATAGGGTTTTGGGGGTAATTACAGTATATCTCTATAGAGACCATAAGGGAATACTATTAGGTAATTCCGACCCCTATGTTTCGGGTTTGGGTGTCCGTGGTTTGAGGGTTGGGGTTTTGGGCTAAGGGTTTAGGTGGTTTGGGTGGTTTGGGTGGCTTAGCGTTTAGGCAGTTTAGGTGGTTTAGGGTTTGAGGGAGGTCTTGTGGATTGTGTAGAGGTGAATGAACGGCCTGTGTGTCGCCATGAAGCATATAACCTATTCTTTCAATCTGAGTCGCTATGGGGTTCCACTTCCTACTTCACCACATGGAACCCTAAACCCTAAACCCTAAACCCTAAACCCTAAACCCTAAACCCTAAACCCTAAACCCTACAAACCCTAATTTACCCTAATCAAACCTAACTATCCCTAATTAACCCTAATTAACCCTAATTCACCCTAATTCACCCTAATTAAACCCTAATTAAACCCTACAAACCCTAAACCCTAGACCTCAGTGTCCCTATCTGGTGCCCTAAACCCTACAAACCCTAATTAAGCCTAATTAAACCCTACAAACCCTAAACCCTAAACCTCAGTGTCCCTATCTGGTGCCATGTCAGGCCTCAAGCAGATTTCGGATCGCTATGGGCACAGGACCGAGGGCTGCAAGCAGGCTGGAAGTATCTGCTTTGAAGCCGAAGCACTAAACTCAATATAGAGATCGGAATAATTACTAATAGTATTCCCTGATTGTGATCCCAAATTTTATAATATGGCAGCGATAAGGGCCCCTACTATGTGAACCCCAAATCCTACAGACAGTATAATTATACCACTTCCAGTGCAACTGGTCTTACGGATATTGGCTCCATGCAAACTTGAGCCACGGCTCGGGCGAGTCAGTTTAGGATTTATATTAGGTTAATCACGAATGCACTAGGCCGTCCTACTTTTGCCACAATGTTACGAATTCGGATGATGGCATCGGGTGAAGAGATAGCTGCGATTGAGCAAGACCAAGTGCAGAGTATGTCTGAGGAGCCGAAAGGGCCGGTTCGTGCACTGAAGTCCTGCCTGTGGTCCCTGCTTGGCATACCAAGGTTTCGACAAAGGCTGGTGACTCCAGGTGGCGAAATACTCGGGGATGCTGCGAATATCCAGTCGTTGAGTGGCTTGCATCTGGTTGTGCTTCCGTTGCTGCCAGCTTCACAGGAAGAGGCGGATGAGCTGTGCAGGTCCGTGGGCAGTCTCAGTACGTCTCGTCTCCAACACCTCCTGCAGATGCCACTCGATCCGGACTCACGAAATTCCAGGGGTTTTGCAGCTTTGCACAAAGCTGCAACAGAGGGATCGCTGACAGCCTTGTCGCTGTTGCTGGAAGCAAGAGCAGACCCGGATGTGACACGGACATCGGACGGGGCCACACCTCTGACCGTGGCATCTACCCATGGTCATATCAACGTGGTAAGGAGCTTGGTCTCAGCAGGTGCCGACAAGGACAAGACTTGCACCAGTGATGGCATGACGCCGCTCTTGGCATCAGTCAGCAGTGGCCATCTGGAAGTGGCCCGCTTGTTACTGGATGCTGGTGCTGACAAAGACATGGGAGACAACGATGGCACCACGCCACTTGTTCAGGCCTGCAGTGTCGATGCAGAGATGCTGGCCTTGCTGCTCAATGCACGTGCAGACCCCAACAAGGTGCGGTCGGACGACGGCGCCGGGCCCCTGCTTTACGCAGCCGACGAAGGCAACGGCCACATGGTGCAGATGCTTCTCGAGGCAAGGGCCGACCCTAACCAAGCAGCCAGTGATGATGGCAGGACACCTTTGCTTATGGCTGCCCAAGATGGCAATTCATCTGTCGTGGGTCTATTGTTGAGTGCAGACGCTGACCCAAACGCAAAACTGTCAACGGATGGCAGGGGGCCGCTCGTGGTGGCTGCTGAGGGAGGCTACGCCAGCGTGGTCAGTTTGCTGTTGAACGCTGGTGCCAACCAGAACGAAGCGACCTACGACGACGGCGATACACCCTTACTTGCGGCGGTGGAGAGCGACAATGCGGAGGTCGTGCGTTTCCTCTTGGATGCCCGCGCAGACGTTTGCAAAGCCAACCTGGCAGGAACTACGCCACGTCGTGCAGCAAAGAGCAGGGGTGCCTGCGCGGAGATCTGCGCGTTGTTGTTGTTGGCCAGAGCGGATGCACCTCGAGATCGAAAGAATCTGCGAGAGAGTCTGTCGTGGGAGCCCAGTGCGCCCAAACATAGTAATCGTGCCAGCCGCGAAAGACAACCGCGAGCATGAATTTCGCCACATGTTAGCATCAATGATGGCGTGCTTGTGGGGCTTCCCAAACGTAGCAGTGTCCCTGTCAGAGTTCTATCCCCAGTTTGTCTGCTCGGTGGCTTGTGTCCATGGTGCGTTCATGTCGAAAGCTCAAGTCAGGCAATGGGTTCCTGTAAGTTGCACTACCGCGAGCTTCAAGAACTCCTGCGTGTCTGTCACACCATGATGATGCCGGCCCAAGACGTGCAAGCGCTCAAGTGCTGAGACAGGTACTTTCGCAGTACCCGAAAGCATCGGTGCCCCTGAAGTCTGACTCGCGCTGCAGTAGTTTAGGGTTTTAGGGTTTAGGGTTTATGGGTTTAAGGCTTTAAGGCTTTAAGGCTTTAAGGGTTTAAGGGTTTAAGGGTTTAAGGGTTTAAGGGTTTAAGGGTTTAATTAAGGGTTTAAGGGTTGACGGGTTTAAGGGTTTAATTGTTTAATTGTTGAAGGGTTGAGGGTTTCCATTTTCTCGCAGTTTTTCCCTGTTTGGTCTCGCGCTGCGAGGCTCGCCTGCTTGCTAGTCACGTTCGAGATGCCCTTTGGCAAGGCCTTGCGGGGTGGCGATTCATAGGGGCTTCAGGGCAAAGCTTGGGGTGTCCCGGTTGTTTCAGGCCTGGGTCTGGAGTTTAGTTTAGGGTTTAGGGTTTAGGGTTTAGGGTTTAGGGTTTAGGGTTTAGGGTTTAGGGTTTAGGGTTTAGGGTTTAGGGTTTAGGGTTTAGGGCTTCAGAGCTTTGAGGGCCTCTGGGAGAGGCATTTTCCATCGAGCCTTAGCGACTCAGGGTATACCGATCCTCTTGGACCGATTTGGGGGCCCCAACGAACAGAAAACCCAACGCCCGGCACCCAAACTACCCCCCCAACCCTAAACCCTCCTTGAACTGCAAGCCCCTAAACCCTAAACCCAAAACCCAACACCCAAAACCCAAAACCCAAAGCCCAAAACCCAAAGCCAACCACTCCTTCAACCCTGCACAAGGCACTGGAGCACATGGACTTCGCCGGCCCCCTCCCTGCTGGCCATCTCCGAGCACCACGCGCGCGGCGCCAGCCGGGGAGCCAGTGGGAGTGAAGGCGTGTAGGCCACCGTTTAGGGTTTAGGGTTTAGGGTTTAGGGTTTAGGTTTTAGGGTAGGATTTAGGCGTTGGGTAGTGGGGTGTTGGGTTTAGGATAGGGGTTTAGGGTTTAGGGGTTTAGGGTTTGGGGTTTAGGGTTTAGGGTTTAGGGCTTAGGGCTTAGGGCTGTTGTCATGCTCATTGAAAATGGGATGCTGAAGATTTGGACGCTCGGGGGCAAGCGGTTGGCTGGTTGAAAATGCGAAAATGAGGTCTGGAAAGTTGGAAAAGTGGTGGAAAATGGATGGTATGCTCGTTGAGAACTATTTAGTGATTCGGGTGTGTGGAGGATGAAGTGGTGTGCTGTTGGAGAAAATGGTTGGGAAAAATGAGTGGGCGTTCGGAGGGGTCTATGTGCGGTGCCATATGCCTAAATAGGCAAGGATAGATCGAACTCCTTTTTGGGAGGGGGTGGGGTCCCCTTTTGCGGACTATCCTTGTCTGGGGGTATAGGGTTTAGGGTTTAGGGGTTAGGGTTCGGGAAATGCCCATGGCGTACGAGTTGCGGTGCCCAGGTACGCTTTGCAAGAGATCGCAGTGGAGGGTGGTCGGAGCAAGGTGTCTCAGCCTAAACCGTCTTGGAGGTTCACGGGTACGTGTTCGTAGGGCCACAAAGTGCCCCTTAATAGGGTTATATAAGTAGGGCCATAAAGTGCCCCTAATAGGGTTATATAAGTAGGGCCATAAAGTGCCCCTTCATAGGGTAATATAAGTACAGTTCCCGTACTTAGAAACCTACTTATACTTACCCCTGAGCCTTCATGCACAGCTTAGAGTCCCAGAAGTCCTGGGCTCAGTTCAACCCGCAGAGCCTTATGCCCTAAACCCTAAACCCTAAACCCTAAACCTTGAACCCTAAACCCTAAACCCTAAACCTTAAACCTTAAACCCTAAACCCTAAACCCTAAACCTTAAACCTTAAACCCTAAACCCTAAACCCTTAAACCCTAAACCCGAAGCCCTAAGAGCCTTTTGCCCTAAAGCCGTAAACACCTGCGGCCCTCCGTGGCGATTGAGGGCTAAAGGTGTGGGGACCACCTAGATGCACGGACCGAAACCATTGTGAGGTTTCGGGTTTAGGTTAGGGTTTAGGGTTTAGGGTTTCAGGAGCCTGGTACTTAAGACACAAAAAAAATCCCCAACAACTCCTTCTACTCGATGTGGTAAGGGTAGTCAGCTGCGCGGTTCAAAGGACCCTGAATCAGATGCTGGAACCGTGGTCGCCACACAATATGATGAACAGCCGTACTTATAACTACCCATGAATCCCAACCAAACCCCTTCTTAAGCCTGAAACCCTAAACCCTAAACCCTCAGCCCTAAACCCTATACCCTAACCCTAAACCCTAAACCCAAAACCCGTAGACCCAGATGCAGCCTGGTAGAAGCCGGGAATGCCCGGCAGACCTAAACCCTAAACCCTAAACCCTAAACCCTAAACCCTAAACCCTAAACCCTAAACCCTAAACCCTAAAACCCTAAACCCTAAACCCTAAACGACTCACTGAGGAGAGATTGCGCCCTGCCGAGACGCTGAAGCCGGAGCAGGCTCTGAAGGCTCGTGGCTTAGGGGGAAGGGGGAGGGGGGTTTAGGGTTTGGGGTTTGGGGTTTAGGGTTTAGGGTTAAGGGTTAGGGGGGGGGGGGGTGGAGGGGACATGTGGTTAGAGTTTTAGGTTTGCAAAGTTTCGGTTTTAGGGTGCCGATTTTTGCTGAGAGTTCTCGGGGTGGCTTCGGGCTTCGGAGTTTTGGATTCAGCCTGCCAGATCCTACAAGACCCAGAAGCGCTAAACCTTTGGGGTTTATTCGCCCCCTACTAAACCCTAAACCCGAAACCCGAAACCCTAAACCCTAACCCCTAAACCCTAAACCCTAAACCCTAAACCCTAAACCCTAAACCTGACTAAACCCTGAACCACTTGTCGAAGCCCTGAGGCAGCGCTTTACAACGAGACGCCGGCCATCCTTTTGGATGTTTCCGGGCTAGAAAACCCCGTACTTGAAGGTTTAAGGATAGGGTTTAGGGTTTAGGGTTTAGGGTTTAGGGTTTAGGGTTTAGGGTTTAGGGTTTTTAGTATGGCAACTATACTTTTAGCCCTGTTTGGGGTCCTAAAACCTTGCTGACAAGTACCCGTGAACCTCCTTGTAGTGGTGGCGGTTCCGGGTTTAAGGGTTAGTGGGGCCGAGGGTTTGGAATCCTTTGGCCCGAAACCCTTTGCCCTCAATCCAAACCCAAGAGCCTAAACCATCGACCCTAGAACCCGGGAACGCACGCAGTGTCATTATCTTACTCCGTTCTTATAGAGAACTGGGAATAAGGTCTGCAATCCCCGAAAATCATCCTTGAAGAGGGTGTGTGGAGGACCTCATTCTCTAATTCGCTACTTGGAGCCATTGGGTTGAGGGTTTAGGGTTCAGGGCTTCGGGCAGAGGGTTTATGATTCGGCTTATTCCCTTGTAGACCTAGAACCTGCGTTTAGGGTTTAGGGTTTAGGGTTTAGGGTTAAGGGGTTGGAGTTTAGGGTTCAGGGTCTTATTCCCATAGAACCTCAACCTCAGACCCACAATTCCCATTCTAGTCAAGCGGGCCCCCTATTCTTGGAGGCCTTGAACTCTCTTCGGAAGTCGCTGACAGACTGAAGCTGTTTAGTCCTTTAGAGCTTACGTGCGGTGTTGAGGGTTTCGGGTTTTGGGCTTAGGTTTCAGGGCTTAGGGTGTGTGGAATGACCATGATTGGAATATGTTGCGATCTTTTGCTCTCTTCTGGATGGGATCAAGCGGATCACGCAAACCTAATGCCGCCGCAACCAACCTCCTCAGGGGTAGCTACAAGTAGGTTATGAGTATGGTAGCTATACTTATAATAATCCCATTAAGGGTACTTCTATAACCCTATAAGTAACCCATGAACCCTAAACCCTAAACCCTAAACCCCCATGAACCTCCAAGCACTCCATATCTGCCTTCTGATCGCACAGGTGTACGCAGCACTGGCTCCCCGACTGGCCGTCAAAGAGCACGGCGTGGGCTCCCGGATCATCTCTGGCAAGGGCGAAAGGTTCGGTTTAGGGTTTAGGGTTTAGGGTTTAGGGTTTCGGGTTTCGGGTTTCGGGTTTCGGGTTTGGGGCTTGGGGTTTGGGGTTTGGGGTTTGGGGTTTTCGGGCCTTAGGGTTGCAGGGCGTCGTCTGGGTCTCGCGGGGGTTTGAATAAGTAGGAAGCCCTTTTCTCTTGAAGCTGTAGGGGCTAGTCGTATGCCTCGGTCCAAACCTTGGCCTCAGTGTCCCGCTGAATCCGGCCAGGGTATGGGGGCTTAGGGGTTTTGAGGTGTTTTGGGATTAGGGGTTGAGGGCTTAGGGGCGCTTAGGGCTTTAGAGGCTTGGCCATTTCCAGTACCCAGAAAATACCACAACGGAGGCTCGCAAGGGCCCATCCTATATCTCCCCCCTCCACCTCCAACGGTGGTTATTTGCTGGTTCTGAGTACACCCTAAACCCTAAACCCTAAACCCAAAACCCTGAACCCTAAACCCGAAACCCTAAACCCTAAACCCTAAACCCTAAACCCTGAACCCTAAACCCTAAGCCACGTAGTCACATCGAGTCGTCGAAGCTGCCGGCGCAAAAGGCTTTCTGTAGACTGATGCTGCTCTCTGGCACCGGCAATCCCGAATTAAGCCCTAAACCCTGAACCCTGAACCCTAAACCCTAAACCCTAAACCCTAAACCCTAAACCTAAACCCTAAACCCTGAACCCCGAAATCCTACACCCCGAGCCCTCACCCCAACATCCGCCCGAATGCTTGCAACCCTAAACCCTAAACCCTCAAAAACCCAAGCCCTAAACCCTAAACGGACCTAAACCCTAAAACCTAAACCCTAAAACCCCTAAACCCTAAAGACCCCCAGAGGCCTGGGCGAGGTGGTGAAGGCCCAGCCGCAACGGGGACTCCCAGAGAACAAACTGGGGATTCGTGGTAGCATAGAGGTACCCTTACGGTTTAGGGTTTAGGGTTTATTGGGTTTAGGGTTTTGGGTTTATGAAAAGGGTTTAGGGTTTAGGGGTTTAATGAGGGTTTAATGAGGGTTTAATGAGGGTTTAGGGTTTAGGGATTGTTTTGAGGCACCTATCTTCGTAGGGTCCTTGGAGTGAGCTGATCCTGGTGTCACGATTTTGTTCGGCGCAGACACCAGACAGTGTAAGACCACTTCGAGAGCATGAAAACACCAAGCTGTTAGCGACAGCCAAGCACTGACTGGGGATTTGGGTCTGCATGTTTATAAGGGTCCTTCATTCAGGGCGGGGGTTTTCACGGGGGGCGGGTACCTTTCAGGGAACCTTCGGGAAGCCTAGGGAGTAGTGGGGTTTAGGGTTTAGGGTTTAGGGTTTAGGGTTTAGGGTTTAGGGTTTAGGGTTTAGGGGGGAGTATTAGGGAAACTTGGGTTGCGTACCACCCTTTGATCCCCCCTCCCTTAAGGACCCTATTAACTGCAAGTGGCACATCTGCACCTGCAGATACATCCGCAGTCCTCTAGCTACCAAAACCCTAAACCCTAAATCCCGAACTGCAAACTCTAAACCACTCTTAACTATGGTTTGGGTTGTGGTAAAACACTCAGCCCTAAACATCTTTGAAAGGGCCTAGGGGAACCCAGCAAGTCTTTCTGGGGCTAGGGTTTAGGGTTGAGGGTTTGGGGTTTGGGGTTTAGGGTTTAGGGCTCGTACCAGGGCTAGGCTTTCGGGTTTAGGGTTTAGAGAGCTCAGCTTGAGGAATCCAGGGTTGCATGACTTTTGCGGGACAATTGAACCTTAAGCCCCAAACACCCCAAAACCCGTCAACCCCCAAAGCACCAGACCCCCAAACCCTATACCCTAAAACCTAAACGAGGGATGATAAAAACCGCCGGTATTGAAAAGTAAAGAGAAGTGCCCCGAGATGATCTGATGTGTATTTTGCTCGATAAAAAGAGATATAAGAGTAAACAAGAACGATAACGCTCATAATAATGCTAAAGCTCGAGAAAACGAGAAGAGTAGACAAGAGCGATAACGAGATTCAGGGATATCTTCCAAAACAGGGGGGTTGTCACGCATACTCAAATGTCTGTGAGGACCCCTCCTGGTTGCTGACCTGTCCATGACTAAGCCCTATCCCTCAACCCTACACCCTACACCCTACACCCTAAACCCTAAACCCTAAACCCTAAACCCTAAACCCTAAACCCTAAACCCTAAACCCTAAACCCTAAACCCTAAACCCTAAACCCTAAACCCTAAACCCTAAACCCTAAACCCTAAACCCTAAACCCTAAACCCTAAACCTAACCCCTAAACCCTCGTAGACCGCAAGCCCCAAACCCAAGCAGGCAGAGTTCGTGGGCCTGCTCCGCCGAGCCAAGGAGGTGCCCAAAGAACCTCCTTAGGGTTTAGGGTTTAGGGTTTAGGGGTTTAGGGGTTAGGGTTTAGGGTTTAGGGTTTAGGGTCTAGGGTTTAGGGTTTAGGGGTTTAGGGGTTTGGGGTTCAGGGTTCAGGGTTTAGGGTTTAGGAGGCGGAGTTGCAGGACCAGTGGCTGCACTGCGCCGACGTCAGGCTTCAAAGGTTGAGGTTTACGGCTTGGGGTTTCGGGCGTAGGGCGGTTGCTATCGAAGGCCATGTAGGGTCTCCTTCAGGGATGTTTTGCAAACATCGGCGCCGGCAGCGATCTAGTTAGGGCTGAGGGACATGAGGGAATCCAGGCCCCAAAACCTTAAACCCTAAACTCAGGGCTTAGGCCGCCCCCCTACGTTGGGGGGCGGCGCTTAAGCCCTTTGACCTCGATGGCACAGACCCAGGTCGTTCGCCCGCCTCCCACAGCATGGGGGTCGGTAGCGCCCGCGATGGGCCCGGTACCGGAACACGTTCTCCTCGGGACCAGTACTGGTCCCTTACAAAAAAGTAACTACCCGAAACCACCTTCAGGTCATTGACCCTGGAGGTGGCTGGCCCTTTCGGGGGGGGGGTACCCCCAGGGCCCCAGCCCAGGGAGGTCCTGGACCCCCCGCCACAGCGGCCTCTTCTCCAAAAAAATCATTTTTGGGTGTCCTACCCTCCTGGCCCTGGCCCCTGCCTGTCTCCCTGCCCCTGCCCCCGACCCCCTAGCTCCCCTGACGCCCCCGCCATGTTGGCCTGGTGGCCCCTTCAGGCCCCCCCTGACCTGCCGCCCTGGCCTGGCAGCCTGTCCTCTTTACCCGCCGGCCCGGGGCCTCTATCTTACCTTCGAGACCTTGCCGGCACCCTTGACTCTCGGATTCAACCAACATCAAAGTTTTGAAAAGTGGACTGTTGTCTGAGTTTAGGCCTAAACCCGAAAAGGAATAGGTTTGGGTGGCTTTGCCGCCTTGGACGGCGTGGGGTGGGAGAAAAGTGTTAGATGGGCCTCCACAATCGGGCCAAAGCTGCTCTTCAGCACCTCACGAAGCTTTCGGGCTTGTTCCGAAACCTAACCTTCACAGCATCTACGCCCTATCACAGCAAACCCTAAACCCTAACCCTAAACCCTAAACCCTAAACGGCACCACGAGGAGAGGAAGATCCTCATCTTCATGCTTGGCGGCCCCAGCCACTCCTTGGCACACAGGAAACCGGGAACGGAGAGGCCCCTACTACACCCTAAGCTCGTAGGGTTTAGGGTTTAGGGTTTAGGGTTTCGGGTTTCGGGTTGAGGGTTGAGGGTTTAGGGTTTAGGGTTTAGGGTTGGGATGTTACCTCTTACACTAGCAGTCCTTAGTAGGGATTATACTAGGGGGGGGGGGGGGGGTACTTGAATCCCCATTCAGGGCTGTGAGCATCAGGGGGAGCATCCCAGCCTAAACCCTTAAGACCTAAGCCATAAGCTACCTCGAGCCCCATACCAGGCACGCACCAATACCAGACCCGCGCGCAAGTTTTACCGGTTCCTGAGAATTTACTCCCCCTCTGGACCCTATACTTAGAGGTTCATGGGTACTTATATAAGTAGGGTTATACGTACCCTCAATAGGGCCATAGGTATAGTTACCATACCTATAGGCCTACTTAAGCTACCCCTTAGGCACCCTACATGGCTAAACTACAGACACTTCTCAAGATCCTATTCGAATCAGACAGGCTCCAATACTAGGATCCCGCAGACCCCCTAAACCCCTAAACTCTGCAAGGCAAGATTACCTTTCCTACTACTTGCTTAAGAACCCCGCAAAAAAATAAAAGATAATCATCCCTAAACTGCCCTCATGAGGAAGAGTGTGTTTTTTTTTGTTGGGGGGGGGGGGGGAAAGGTTCTTGAGCAAATGTAGTTTCGGAGACATGAGGTGACGTTGACATTGAGCGCAGCAAAAACCCGTCTAAGAGCTTCTTGTGCCTTTGCAGTGGCGCAACACTCCTGCAACTCCGCCTCCTGAACCCTAAACCCTGAACCCTAAACCCTAAACCCTAAACCCTAAACCCTAAACCCTAAACCCTAAACCCTACGAACTCCCGTGATCAGCTCTGAGTCCCCAAAGCCTGGACGTCTTAGAAAGTCCCAGCCCAGGGTTTAGGGGTTTCGGGTTTAGGGTTTGGGGTGACCCGAATGCCCCTCAATCCTGAATCCGCAGCCCCTGCAACCCGAAACAGATCCCGAGGCCCGGTGGAACTCGCCGAGCATCTTGTCTCGGTTTAGGGTTTAGGGTTTAGGGTTTAGGGTTTAGGGTTTAGGGTTTAGGGTTTCGGGTTGAGGGTTGAGGGTTTAGGGTATAGGGTTTAGGGTTTAGGGTTTAGGGTTTAGGGCTCAGGCGCAAGTTAGCGGCGTCGCAGCTCTTGAGGTCAGGTTTTGGGTTTGGGGTTTAGGGCTTGGGTTTGGGTGTAGGGTTTGGGGTTTAGGGCTTGGGGTTTAGAGTGTAGGGGTTTGGGGTTTAGGGCTTGGGGTTTAGAGTTTAGGGGTTTGCGGTTTAGGGCTTGGGGTTTAGAGTTTAGGGGTTTGGGGTTTAGGGCTTGGGGTTTAGAGTTTAGGGGTTTTGCGTGTAGGATTTATGGTGGTTTGCGGTGTTGGGTTTGCAGTTTTGGGGTGTGGGGTATGGGGTTTGGCCTTCGGGTTGAGGGTTTGCCCTAAATCCTAAAGCCCTACACCCACACCCTTAACCCTAAACCCTGTTGTTTAAATTAGACACGCTGCCTTCTTTCATGCGAGGAGCCGGTGTGGCTAAGCCCCGGACCCCTATCAGCACTCGACCTTTAGATGCCGAAACTAGGGTTTAGGGTGTCGGGTTTAAGGTTTAGGGTTTGCATTGTGAGGGTTTTAGGGTGCGGGGGTGCAAGGGTATTTGGGGTTTAATTGGTTCGAGGGTTTCAGGGCATTTCGGATTTCAAGGTTTAAGCTTTCAAGGGGTTTCTAGGGTTTTTAAAGGGTTTAAGGGTCTTCTGGGCTACAGCCGCACCGCCTGGATGGGGCCCGAGGATCTTGTGGAATCTACGACGCATCGAAAATCAAGAAAGAAGCCATGACACCCCAACACCCTCCCCCCCCCCTCCCCCCCCCCCCTCCCCCCCCCCCTCCCCCCCCCCTCACCCCCCCTCCCCCCCCCCCCCCCCCCCCCCCCCCCCCTCCCCCCCCCCTCCCCCCCCCCTCCCCCCCCCTCCCCCCCCCCCCCCCCCCCTCCCCCCCCCCCTCCCCCCCCCTCCCCCCCTCCCCCCCCCCCCCCCCCCCCCCCCCCCTCCCCCCCTCCCCCCCCTCCCCCCCCCCGCTCTTTGGGGGACACCCCTGCGATCTTCGTCGTCAGTTACTTGAACCAGGACGTCCCGCCGCCAGTGTCAAGGCTTTGACGCTTCAGCTGGGCTTTGGCTCGCTCATCATGGTTTTGGGCCCTTCTTTCATGCACGATGCAGCCGCAGCAGGCGAGTTTGAGCAAGCGGTCTGCGCTGCAGTCATGGAGAAGAAGGTTCAGCGGCTGAACTTGCTCATCAAGACGGGGTCTGTGAATGCCGCAGCTGCCCTACTCTTTTGCCCACAGACGCTGGAGGAGATGAAGACTGCTTCGCCTCTGTTGCAGAGAGTCGTCGGCTCCTCTGCAGTGGAGAAAGGCGTGCCTCAGGCCATGTTTGGAAGACGGTCGTAGTTGAAACAGGTTTTGCTCATTGACTTTCAGCTTTAGAAATGCATTTTAACCCCCTCCCCCCCCTCCCCCCCCCCCCCTTCCCCCCCCCCTCCCCCCCCCCCTCCCCCCCCCCTCCCCCCCCCCCTCCCCCCCCCCCTCCCCCCCCCCCCCCCCAAACGAAAGAAAACAAGAAGCAAAAAGGGCAAATTATCGAAGAGGAAGGGTAAAGATTAGATAAACCATAAGAATACAACCCGAAACCCTGCAACCCAAGATGTGGATGTTGACCCCGTGGTCTCCCAGGAGGCACCTAAACCCTAAACCCTAAACCCTAAACCCTAAACCCTAAACCCTAAACCCTAAACCCTAAACCCTAAACCCTAAACCCTAAACCCTAAACCCTAAACCGCCAAGGAAGGTCTACCTGAAGGACCAGTACGTTGCCATGGGTCTCCGGTGTGGATACCTGCGATGGCCCCTGGGCCCTACATCAGGGCTACCCCAAACTATGGGCCTATGTTGGGCCTATCGTTGGGGTCGATTTTGGGACCATCCCAAGAATCAAACCCAAAACCCTAAACCCTAAGTCCCCCAAACCCAAGCCCTAGACCGAAGGATCCTAACCCTAAGTCCCCAAAACCCAAGCCCTAAACCCTAAACCCTAAACCCTAAACCCTAAACCCTAAACCCTCCGCCCCCGAAACCGGAGTCGCGACAAGGCGCGAGTCTCCCGACCACTCCTGGCGCCGCCAGACGCTTGGCGGCGGTTGGATTTTGATGGGTTTTCTACTATTTGCTTAAGAACTCCCCAAAAAAGGAAATAATAATACCTCTATTCCCTTTTCAGGAAGAATATTTGTGGATTGGAGGCTTGAGGGCGATTTAAGGGCGTTCGGGTGTCAATCAAGGTTTTTGGCCTGCAGACTATAGAGGTTTTCGGGTTCAAGCTGTCTGCCAGTGAGGCTTAAGGCGGCCATGAGAAATACAGCGCTGTAGGGTTGCTGTTGGTTGGCCCCTGTACTCCAGTCTAGGTTCTTAAAGGGCAGAGCCCCGTAGCCGTTTGCTTGTGCACGAAGTCGTGCTGAGGTGTAGCTGGAAACCCTAAACCCTAAACCCTAAACCCTAAACCCTAAACCCTAAACCTTAAACCCTAAACCCTAAACCCTAAACCCTAAACCCTAAACCCTAAGGTTAGAAGGCAAGGCTTTGGTTCTTTCGGGCTTTCGGTTGTTGCATTGTTTTTTTGGGTGGGGAGAGGGGTGAGAGGGGGGGGGGTTGAGGCTGAGGGGCGTTCAGGGCTCACCGTTCCCTCGTTGCAGGCAAGGGCCTCTATATAGGGATAAGAAGAGCGAGATTAGAACTATTGTGTACTATACCTATACAGTTTCATGGCATAACACTCTGGATACCCGACTCGTCGCCATAGCAGCCCAACCCGAAAGAAGGTACCCAAAAAAGCACGAGTCTGCTAGACCCCTAGGTAGTGCCTCCCTACGAACACTCACTCTGCTAGCCATACGCCCAGCAATGGACTTCAATGAGTAAGAGGTTGGGGCTGCGGGAAGGAATATTCAGGGTTCCCTAGCCCTAAACCCTAAACCCTAAACCCTAAAGCCTAAACCCCAGAAGGATATTGTTCAGAGGCCTCTGTCTTGAGAGAGCCCAGGAAGTGCTACGACCAGCGGTTGATTCTTGGCCACGCAGCTGCAGTGAACCCCTGTGGCCCTTTCATCGGGGGTTTACGATATTGAGGGGTACCTTACTGGGGTCCTTTTTTAATAAGGGGATCCTACTTTTTGGGGATCTATATTGGGGACCCCTATTTTCGGAAGCCCCCATCTGAGTGTTGGAGCCAAAATCTCCTACTTAGACCAGCACCATCTTAAGCCCTCAGCCCAGAACCTCCAACCTCAAATTGAGCGCGAAGGGGAGCTTGGCCCTCTCCCTCCCTGCCTTTCTCTCCCACCTCTCCCTGTCGCTCTCTCGCTCTCGCTCTTGCTCGCTCGCTCTCTCTCGCTCTCTCTCGCTCTCTCGCTCGCTCGCTCGCTCTCTCTCTCTCTCTCTCTCTGTCCCTGCGTTTGTCTATGCCTCTGTCAGTCTTTCTCTTTCTCTTGCTCTTGATCCTTCTCTCTTTCTCCTTGTCTTTCTCTTTCTCTTGCCTCTTCTCTTTTTCCTTCTCTTTGTCTTTCTCTTCACTTGAGCTCGAGGCTCGAGGGAGGGTGTGTGGGGAGATGTGGTCTTGAGTATGTTCCAACCTCGGGAACCGCACTTGCCTTTTGCCTTGTGGACGGCGATCAGGTCTGATGATGCCGTGAGCCAAAGCCCCTTGGCTACATATGGGGGGTTTACGATCATCAGGGGTCCCTAATTTTGACAAGACCCCCAAATTGTAGGATTCCATTATATTTGTTTAATATAGGACCCCAACAAGGGGTACCCCTAGAATCGTTAAGCCCCCATATTGGGTGCCGCCTTTTCATGGCTTTCGGTTTTCGGGGGCCGATCCTTGCAGACCCTAAACCCTAAACCCCCTAAACCCTAAACCCTAAACCCTAAACCCTAAACCCTAAACCCTAAACCCTAAACCCTAAACCCTAAACCCCTAAACCCCTAAACCCTAAACCCTAAACTTAAACCCTGAAGCCCACCTAAGAACTGAGGCGCCACTTCGAAGAGCAGTGCCGGTACTGGTGGGCTGGCACTGCCATGGGGAACGGGGAACGCCTCGCACGCAGCATGGGCTGCAGCACCCACTACCCGGATTATGATGTTTCGTGGGCTTAGGGCTCCGAAACCCTCAATGAAACCCCAAGCCTTATAAGCCCTACACCCTAGGGGATTCCAAAATCGGATGCTCTCCCCGAACCCTTAAACCTCCCCCCCCCCCCCCCAAGAGCAATAACTCCCCCCCAGTGCGGGAGCAGGGGCCTTCCCCGTGCAATTTTTACACTGCCGTCACGTAGGCCAGGGAGGCTTGGGAGATCATCCCTGGCAAGCCCTCCCTGGACAATCGGATGAGCCTGCTCTCAAGACCTTGGCATCTTCTTAGTGGCTGAGTGGGTACACTTTACACTTTTTGTGGATACTATAATCCCCTACAGAAGGGAAAGTGTACACTTCTTGGGGGGCTTATGAACTCAGCAACTAAGTCTGCTATTTGAGGGATTTTGAGGGCGCGCAGAAGTCATAAGTACTACTGAAGTATGAGCTTTTGGGTGTTTATGGGGTACATTATGGGGGTGTATAAGGGGTCCCCAAATAAGGGCCCGTAGTAAGGGACCATGTGACTGCCCTTAGATGGTATCGCATGGTTTCTCATCATGTCACGACATGGGCCACCACCGACGCAGGCCGAGGCGCGCGAGGTTCCTGAAGCTTATCCAATACCATACCATGGCCCTTGCTAGACCGATATTTGACAGGATGCGACGTGGAGTAGCCTAAGTTCCCACCCTAGACCCTAAACCCTAAACCCCAAACCCTATGAACCCTATGAACCCTATGAACCCTATGAACCCTACACCGGAGCTACTTCGGGCGCTACTATTGAAGGCTTCCCTATGGTCGAGCAAAGTTACACCCGAGAGCAGCTGACAGTTTTTTTTTGTGATTGCCTCTTGGCCTTCCCAGATGGGTCGTGATGTTGGCCGACGGTTTAGGGTTCAGGGTTTAGGTTTCAGGGTTTAGGGTGTAGGGTTTAGGGTTTAGGGTCTAGGGTTTAGGGTTTAAGGTTTAGGGTTTAGGGTTGCTGTTGCGAGAGCGTCGAACGCTCGACCTTTCGGGCCCATGAAGGAAGGCGTTTTGATACAGCTAGCGGCTAGCCACGGGTTTCGTAGTGAGCTTCTTTCTGACAGACCACTGTCAGAGTATGTTCCAGTGGGCAGAATCTCACCTCACTATTGTGGGTTAGGGGGGATGGTGCGCGCTTCTTCGCGATCCTTGTCTCAAGCCGTTAGGGTCACAAGGCCGTCTTCTGATAGGCTAACCCATCACGCATCTATGGGCTTCGGAGTACGGAGATTGCTTGAGTCTCGCACCATCGATTTCCAGTTTGTGGAATTATCCGAGGGCTGTCAGGAGATTGCAGCACTCGAAGTTTAGTAGGGGATACATCCCAAGCGCTAGTGCGCCTTTTGAGGACAGTTGCTTTTATCTTTGCTGGTCAGATGGCCAATCTCCTGTTTGCCAGTCTGCATAGGATGGGGAACCAAAACACAAATACGTGGACTCATCTCATTGGAGTGCGCGTGTGGTTTTGCAGGGGCTTGCCTGCAGAGACAGGCACGGACCGATACCACCAGAGTATCCGCTGCGCTTTGCAGACGCGCGCTACAGGTGGAACTTGAGATGCTCTCGCCCATGCGCAACTCACACCGCTTGTACCGAAATCCCGTTGAGCCCAAACCCTAAACCCTGTACCCTATAGTGCTCCTTCCCTCACCCTGTAGCCTTCAGTAACATGGAAGCCTTGAACATGACACACCCCCACCCCACCCTTCCCCCGCCAAAAAGAACAAAACAAAAACCAAGCAAACAAATAGCCCCCCAAAACACATTCCCAAGCACCAAGCCACCAAACACCCCTCCCCAACCCAAAAAGAACATAACCCTCCAACAAAAACCCCAAAGCACCAAGCCATCAAACCACCGAACTCAGAAGCCACAACGCAAGCCCTAAACCCTAAACACTAAACCCTAAACCCTAAACCCTAAACCCTAAACGAACACAAGCGAGTTCGGTCTCAAGCTGTGCCTGACCGAATCCTGGGGTATCGAGCAAAATGAACACTGTGGGCTGTCAGGGTTTAGGATTTAGGGTTTAGGGTTTAGGGTCTGGGGTAGAGCACATGCGCCTTAAACATTGGGTGGAGTAGCCCCGTATGTTGAGAGAATCAAGGCTACTCCGGGTAGCCCCAAGCCAACAAGCTAAACCCCGAAACCCTAAAACCCTAAACTCACAGAGCTGGTCCTAAAGCCCAAAACCCAAAAACGCGAAACCCTGAACCCTAAACTGAGCTGGTTCTAAAACCCTTCTAAGCCCGAAAGCCCTAAACCCTAAACTCACGGAGAGTTGGTTCTGAGAGCAGTTACTAGGTAGGCCCTTGGGACATTGTGATTTTTCCCTCATAGGGTTTAAGTGGATCATATGCAAGAATATCTTTCAGAGGGTGCAGGGTTAGGGTTTAGGGTTTAGGGTTTAGGGTTTAGGGTTTAGGGTTTAGGGTTTAGGGTTTAGGGTTTAGGGTTTAGGGTTTAGGGTTTAGGGTTTAGGGTTTAGGGTTTAGGAATTTAGAGGACGAGCCGTAAGTTGAGGTCCCTGGACGAGTCGAACGATCGGGCCGAGATGCTTCTCGAGGGCGTCAAGGACCTGACTTGCTGGCCTTGGTTTAAGGGTTTAGGGTTTCGGGTTTGGGGTTCAGGGTCTAGGGTTTAGGGTTTAGGGTTTAGGGTTTAGGGTTCAGGGTTCAGGGTCTAGGGTAGTTTCATCCTCGCTTCCCGTCTTCGAGTTTGAGGTGTGTTTAGGGTTTAGGGCTTCGGGTTTAGGGCTCAGGGTTTAGGGTTTAAGGCAGAATTTTCCTGGGGGGGCTCAAACGGCCTAGTGTCCTGGGAGATGGTTTACTTGTTTACCCTTCTTGGACTTATGGGGATCCCATTTCGGAGTGTTTTTTTTCGCGGGGCTTCAGGGCCAGCCTAGGCCATCTGACCCTGCGAAGTACAAATCGGGCGATGGGGATATTTCGGGTAGCCCTAAACTCTAAGGCCTCAATCCTAAACCCTACACCCTAAACCCTAAACCCTAAACCCTAAACCCTAAACCCAACTTGAGGTTTCAGTGGTTCCCTGTTCGGTCCAACGGGATCACAGCACAGCTCTCAACTTCGAACGCAATACCCCAAACCCCCAAACCCTACGCCCCAAGCGGTTTGGGGGTTTAGGGTTTAGGGGTTTAAGGTTTAGGGGTTCAGGGCTTAGGTTTAGGGTTTAGGGTTTAGGGCTTAGGGCTTAGGCGTTCTAGGGCCGGAATCTGGGCCCAGTGGGCACAGGACATTGGCAAGCTGGTGGGCCACGCCCTCAGCTACAGCTTTCGATCTAAGCCTCAGCCGTCGGAACCAAGTGGCGAAGACTCATTGAGGGTTTCGGGGTTCCTGTCCTCAACCCCAGAACCCCAAAACCTTCAAACCCCCAAACCCAAAACCCTAACCTTTCCCAACCAGGGCCAGACCCTGAAAGTTCGGACACTCACTCTACGTTCTGAATCCTGAACTCCTGTGCGTGCAATTCGGGATTAGGGTTCAGGGTTTAGGGTTTCTGAATCCCGAATTCGGCAAAGGGATCCAGCATCAGATTCTTGCCCGGCGTGCGGCCATGGGCCACCTCCCTTGTCTTGCGACGCGGGTGCTTCCGTTGCAGTCTTTTAAAGGGATTATGGTATCCTCTATTATAATATAAGGGGGACCATCCCAAGTTTGGGGTTTAGAGTTTAGGGTTTAGGGTTTGAGGACTCAGCTCAACGTAGCATCAACTCCCCAGCCAAGGCGTCGGAGGCATCGGCGGAATTATGCAATTCTTTATGTCGGAGGAGGTGCGTGGGGGGGGCGGGGGGTTCGGCAGAGAATGAGGGAGTTTTCCACGAAAGCCTAAACCCTAAACCCTAAACCCAAAACCCTAAACCCTAAACCCTAAACCGGTTCACGGCAACCACTCACTTTCAGGCAGGTTTGGCGCACCGGGGCTCTTTGAGCTTTTGTAGTAAGGCCAAAGACCAAGAACAAGGATCCCACAACTATCACATGACGAGTATAGGGTTCTCAAGGGGTGGGGCGGGGGTAACCAAACAACTCTTTACTTTGAGCTTCGTGGGTAGACAACCCTTCAAGCATTGCCTTGTGCTGTTGAGAGCACAATGGTTCCAGATCCGAAGGATTGACCTTGGTAAGTCACCAGGGTTCCCCCCCCCAAAAAAAAAAGAGAGAGAAGGGTTTTAGGGTTGAGGGATTATGGTATGGGGTCTAGACACTTCTTATTCTGGCCCTGGAAGCATGCAAGTTGCGTAGGTTCGGGGTACCAGACCCTAGACTCCCGACCCTGGTCCGAAGAGAGCTGAGATACGAACTCCTTTGTCAAGGAGGGGTAACATTTTACCTTTGTAGGGTACTTAAACTCATTTTACATGTTTAGGGCACTTAAACTCCATAAGGATCTGAAATTTAGAGTTTGAATACTATCCCAACCATGAACTAGAAACGGTGTCAGGCCATCATCGCTGAGACGAAGCAGAAGGCGGAGTTGGTTCCAAGATCCTGCCTTTGGGTTT